AGAGTTGTTAGCTTAATTTTGCCCCATTTTATGACCTTTCTTGCCACCGTTGTTAAGTGAATCACTGCGATTGTTAAGTTTGTAACAGGGTTGTTAAGTGAATCTACCTTCTCGATTGACTTTGTTTGTCAGAAGGTTGCAAAAAGTGATCACATGACCCCAGGACACTGCAACCGTCATAATTATGAGTCAGTTGCCATGCATCCAAATTCTGATTACTTGACCATGGGGATGCTGCAACAGTCACTGCCGTTGTAACTTCGAACAGTCATTAAAGAAATGGCCACAAGTTGAGGAGCACCTTTACCTCTTGGGAATCAACATTACGTCAGCAACAAATGCCAAAATAGTCAATATTCTTTCCAATATTCCATCCAAATCTTAATTCATTTCATTTTGGTAGAATTTTAATAAACTACCGTATACAGGGCATATACAAAAAGAGGAGAACACGAGGCAGACCCAGGAGATGATGGAGAGACAACATCAAAATCACACCACAACAACATCAATTAACAAGGATTGAGGCCACCAGAAGAGCAAGAATCAGAACTTTGTATCTTCCTTGACAGAAGAATGAGAGGAGGAGGAGGAGGAGGAGGAGGAGGAGGAGGAAGAGGAAGAGGAGGAGGAGGAGGAGGAGGAGGAGAAAGAGGAGAAGGAGGAAGGAGGAGGAGGAGGAAGAGGAGGAGGAGGAGAAGGAGAAGAAGTTGTAAATCAAAGAAGATGACTCAGGAACACTTTCTGCTTAATGAGACTTTGGGAGGAGGAGGAGGAGAAAGAGAAGGAGGAAGGAGAAGGAGGAGGAGGAGGAGGAGGAGGAGGAGGAGGAGGAGGAGGAGAAGGAGAAGAAGTTCTAAATCAAAGAATATGACTCAGGAACACTTTCTGCTTAATGAGACTTTGGGAGGAGGAGGAGGAGGAGAAAGAGAAGGAGGAAGGAGAAGGAGGAGGAGGAGGAGGAGGAGGAGGAGGAGGAGGAGGAGGAGGAGAAGGAGAAGAAGTTCTAAATCAAAGAAGATGACTCAGGAACACTTTCTGCTTAATGAGACTTTGGGAGGAGGAGGAGGAGGAGAAAGAGAAGGAGGAAGGAGAAGGAGGAGAAAGAGAAGGAGGAGGAGGAGGAGGAGGAAGGAGGGAGAAGGAGAAGGAGAAAGAGGAGAAGGAGAAGAAGTTCTAAATCAAAGAAGATGACTCAGGAACACTTTGGGAGGAGGAGAAGGAGGAATGAGAAGGAGGAAGAGGAGAAGGAGGAATGAGAAGGAGGAGGAGAAGGAGAAAGAGAAGGAGGAGGAGGAGGAGGAGGAGGAGGAGGAGGAGGAGGAGGAGGAGGAGGAGAAGGAGAAGGAGAAGGAGAAGAAGTTCTAAATCAAAGAAGATGACTCAGGAACACTTTCTGCTTAAAGACTTTGGGAGGAGGAGGAGGAGGAGGAGGAGGAGGAGGAGGAGGAGGAGGAGAAGGAGGAAGGAGAATAAGAAGAAGGAGGAGAAGGAGAAAGAGAAGAGGAGAAGGAGAAGAAGGAGGAAGGAGGGAGAAGGAGAAGGAGAAAGAGGAGAAGGAGAAGAAGTTCTAAATCAAAGAAGATGACTCAGGAACACTTTGGGAGGAGGAGAAGGAGGAATGAGAAGGAGGAGGAGGAGGAGAAGGAGGAATGAGAAGGAGGAGGAGAAGGAGAAAGAGAAGGAGGAGGAGGAGGAGGAAGAAGGAAGAAAAGGAGGAGAAGGAGAAAGAGAAGGAAAAAGGAGGAGAAGGATTCGACATTCTAAACTGCATGAAACAGAATGAAATCCCATCAAAACTGGTAACACCATCAATTTATTTTATTGAATATTTCCATTGCTTAGGAAATCCTGAATTCTAGAATTCCAGACAGCCATAGAGGAAGAATAGCTATTTTTCCTGGAGTAATCCAACACTGTCAATCAACTGCAATTCTCAGACTCCTTTGGGAGAAGCCAATTACAACAAAGGCATCAATATTGGGAAGGTTTGTTTTCAGTCTGGATCAACTCCCGGTGTGTAAGGCTAATATTGTGGAAATTGATTTGCAACTGTCAACGAGCTCCACTCTCTCTATAGATGTGCAGCTGAATATTTACTTTGTTTTTCTAAGCTGTTCTTACATAGTTCTTCATCTCCAAAACAACTCTTAACACCCTTTATTTAAATCTAACCTTGAAAAAACTTAAATGCAACGAGAGGTGTATTCTGGAAAAAAAAAAAAACATACCACTTTTAGTTCAGACAGACATATTTAGGCACTGGAGAGAAAATCTACTTCTAGCTACTCACATCTGACCCACATCAAACAATTCTCTAGAGGGACTGGAATTACACACCAACGTTTGCACGCAGGAATAACTGCTGGACAAAATTTCAGGTAGTTGCTCGACTTACATCCACGCTGAGCTCAAAATTTCTGTTGCTCAGCCAGATAGTTGTTAAGCGAATTTTGCCCCCTTTTAGGACCTTTCGGACCACAGCCGTTAAATGAATCACTGCAGTTGTGAAGTTAATAACGCGGGTGTTATGTGATTTTGCTTCTCAGAAGTTCGCAAAAGGGGATCACATGACCCTGGGACACCGCAACTGTCATAAGTATGAGTCAGTTGCCAAGCGTCTGGATTTTGATCATGTGACCAGGGGGATGCTGCAGCGGTTGTAAGTGTGAAAAACAGTCATAATTCACTTTTTTCAGTTCTGTTGTAACTTTGAACTATCAATAATAGCAATAGCACTTAGACTTCTATACCGCTTCATAGTGCTTTACAACAGGGGTCTCCAAACTTGGCAATGTTAAGACTTGTGGATTTCAACTCCCAGAATTCCTCAGCCAGCAAAGCTGGCTGAGGAATTCTGGGAGTTGAAATCCACAAGTCTTAACATTGCCAAGTTTGGAGACCCCTGCTTTACAGCCCTCTCTAAGCGGTTTATAGAGTCAGCCTTTTACCCCCAGCAATCGGGGTCCTCAATTTATTGACCTCGGAAGGACGGAAGGCTGAGTCAACCCTGAGCCACTGAGACTCGACCTGCCGACTTGCTGGCAGTCAGCAGTCAGCAGAAGTAGCCTGCAGTGGTGCCTTCCAACTACTGCGCCACCACAGCTCCTAAACTAATGGGTTGTAAGTCAAGGTGTTGTGGTTCCGGCTAATGAAACATTCCAAAGAACTTCCAGGCGTTTATTTTCCTAAAAGTCTTTTATTGTTACAAAATGTCGGCACAGGCACAATGGAAGGATGCTAGGATTTAAGTTCTCTTCCTCTGAGCAGTTAAATTATCAGCATGTTCCCTCCCTAAATTAGCTGTCATATCTCACGTTATCCAATTAGTGTGAAGGTCAAATGTTTTCTTCCTCTTTCTTTCCCGGGCTTTACCCCCAACCCTCCTTCTGCTCTGTATTAACCCCATAATTACCAGACAATTCTGCATATTGTCAAAAGCAAGAATATACAATATTTGCAGCGTTGACACAAGGATTACTTATACCAGGGGTCCCCGGCCTGTGGGCCGTGGCCTAATCACCACAGGGCCATGTGAGTGACCGGTCAGCGCTTGCGTGTCTGCGCGCACACCGCCCCCCTTGCGTGAGCATCGCCGCAAATGTCACAGGTGGTCGCAGTCCCATTCACATGAGCATCGCTATGGGTGCTTGCTGTCCCACTCATGCAAACCTTGCTGTGTGCGCTTGTGGAATCACTTGTGCGAGTGTTGCTGCGAATGCCATGGGCATTCATGCAGCACACACAAACACACACACACACACACACCTGCCCCTCCCACAGAATCATCCCCTTTCTCGCCTCTCTCTTCTCCAGCCGCCAATCCGGAAAGGTTGGGGAAGAGATTGACCTAAACTGGGCCCTGAGGTCGACTGATAGTATGTGTGGACACATAAGTCTTGCTGTATTTTTGTCTAAAATCTCTGAGCTTGGTTGTTTTCTTGCAGACCTTTCATCACCCAACTAGGTAACATCGTCAGGGTGCTGGAGTTTGCCCTGTTAATATATAAGTGACTTGCCCTAATCAGGGAACTGAAAGAGCAAGCCACTAGTTAGTATATCAACAGTATGTTGTTGTTGTTAGTTGCGAAGTCGTGTCCGACCCATCGCGACCCCATGGACAATGTTCCTCCAGGCCTTCCTGTCCTCTACCATCTTCTGGAGTCCATTTAAGCTCAGGCCTACTGCTTCAGTGACTCCATCCAGCCACCTCATTCTATGTCGTCCCCTTCTTCTATTGCCCTCAATCTTTCCCAGCATTAGGCTCTTCTCCAGTGAGTCCTTCCTTCTCGTTAGGTGGCCAAAGTACTTGAGTTTCAGCTTCAGGATCTGGCCTTCTAAAGAGCAGTCGGGGTTGACCTCTTCCAGGACTGACCGGTTTGAACGCCTTGCAGTCCAGGGGACTCGCAGGAGTCTTCTCCAGCACCACAGTTCAAAGGCCTCAATTCTTTTGCGCTCAGCCTTTCTTATGGTCCCGCTTTCACAGCCATACATTGCAACTGGGAAAACCATGGCCTTGACTATAGTACTTTTGTTGGCAGTTTGTCTAAAATAAGAGCTTTGAAATCTTAAAAGCCCTGCCCAAGGAAGGAAAGTGCTTGAAGCCGAAAAAGGAATCCACACAACAACACACAGTGAGAGTGGAGTATGTTCAAGAAATTAATTTATTCCCCAAACCGTGCAAGGAAGCTTGCAATGACTGATAGCCTTTTCTTTGAAGAGGCGTTAAAGCACTAAATTGGATTCAGTTTATGGAAGAATAATTTAATCCCCTCTTCCACTCCACTCCACCCCACCCCTTTCTCCTTCCAACCTGAATCTTGTGTCGCTTCACTCATAAGACCTCTTGACCCACACTTGCCTCTCGCTTACCAGATTCTTTCCAGCGGACTTGAGACACCACCCCGTGCCATGCCACTCCCCCTTCCTCCCCACTGGCCAGGCCCCTTTGCCCCCCTCTTTTCGTTATTCCTGGATGCTCAGAGCCAAATGTCACTCACCTTTGAAAGACCCCCGACCTCCAAATAAAAGCAGATGATGAAAATGTTCCAGGTGACCCAAATGGCCGTCCAGATGGCATACTGGGTGGAGGGATGGGACATGCAAGAAAGAGGGTGGGGGGGAAAGGGAGGAAAAAAAACCACAATCTTATTGCTTATTGAAAATGAAACCGAACATCCAGATTCAGCCACAGTTTTGTTCCAATAGGATCAACCTTATGAATTCTCAAGTCTCCTCTTTCTGCTACATGTTCAAAATGGTGTGTGTGTGTTTGTGTGTGTGTGTGTGTGTGTACATACAGACACATATATAAATATATACTGTAAATTCAAAATTTTGTGGCTGACAAAGAGTTAGTGGGAGATTAGTATAGCTATTTCAAGCTCTCCCATTAACTCTTTGTCAGACACAAAATTTTGAATTTACAGTATTCACAGTATGTGACATCTGCCTGCAAAACATGCTCCTAGATTGGAGCGAAAGGCAGAACAGACTGATTTATATTTGGTAGACTGAGTGCTCCACCCAACAGATAAGATAAATATATACTGTATATAAAAAATAAGCCCCAGTTAAGATCGTCAGCCAGACGGATGCATTTAGTACCGTATTTCCCTGAAAATAAGACCTAACCGGAAAATAAGCACTAATGTGTCTTTTGGAACAAAAATTAATATAAGACCAGGTCTTATTTTGGGGAAAATATGGCATGTGTGTGTGTGTGTGTGTGTGTGTATGTGTGTGGGTGTGTAGTATATGCATATGTGTGTTATGTATGTGTATGGGTAGATATATACTTTCATTTGAGAGCAGACAACAGAATTTCATTTTTAATATGGGTCAGTGTGATCACAGTACAATTGCCGATCAAGGTGATCTTATCTAAGTACAGGTAGTCCTTGACGTACAATTCATTTAGTGACTATTCAGAGTTACAACAGCACTTATGACTATTTTTCACCCTTACGGCCGTTGCAGCATCCCCGTGGTCACATGGTCAAAATCCACACACTTGGCAACTGGCTCATATTTATAATGGTTTCAGGGTCCCGGGGGGTGGGTGGGGGGAACATGTGATCCCCTTTGGTGACCTTCTGACAAGCAAAGTCAAGGCTGGAAGCCAGATTCACCTCACAACTGTGTGACTAACTCCACAGCTACAGGGATTCACTTAACACCTGTAGCAAGAAAGGTCGTAAAGTGGGGGGCAAAACTCACTCAACATTCTTGTGGTGTCTTTAGAAAGCACCTTATAATCGAAGAAGCTTCGTCAACTCTGACTGGATGAGAGTCATTGATGAGAACCCTTTCAACAGTTGCAAGAAGGCTCCGCACTCATTTGCACTACTGAGGTGACCCTGAGGACACAGAAAAGCCTCCAGGTGGCCTCAACGACTCTCTAAAACAGTGATGGCGAACCTATGGCACGGGTGCCAGAGACGGCACTCGGAGCCCTCTCAGTGGGCACACGTGCCGTTGCCCCACCCTCGCCTCCTCTCCAGCAGCCCCCTTGAAGGAGAGTCGCCCCTGAGCGTGGCCCACGTGGAGCAGTGCAGCCAAGGACATGGCAGCCAGGCAGCGTAGACAAGACTCTGCCCTCACTCCCCATCGTGCACAGTTGATGCTGCAGGGCGCAGGCAGAGGGCATGACCGCCATAGCACTGCTGGGCTGCCTGGGTGATCTGCGGCAGGCCCTGGAGGTGGTGAGTGGCCCTGCGGACAGCGGGGCGGGGGATGGGGGGAGGAGTGGGGGTGGGGCGGGGGTGGAGTGGGGGCGGGGCCAGTTTTTGGGCACTCGGTCTCTAAAAGGTTCGCCATCACTGCTCTAAAAAACTGCAAATGGCCAGCTGTCTGCAAGGAGTATAAAGCCTTCCATTCCCCACCATCCAGTCAGAGCTGAAGAAGCTTCTTGGATGGGAAGCAAAATATCTTCAAAGAGAGAGAGAGAAAAAAAGTCCAGTGGCTTTGTGAAAAAGCACTTTTGGAACCAGATCTGAGAAGTGTATTTTCAGACTTCTAAGATTCTGTTAATGTAGCTTTACAATAAAATGAATTAGCTTATTGGGTTCATGTTTGCTGCCTGGCAGCCTAGTAGTGCTGATATCAGCCCTGGCAGGTAACAATGTGATTAATCAAATTGGGGAGAGTTAGTCTTGTGGCTGTTTGGAATGTAAAGACCCCCCCAAGGCTCCATTACATAATGCAAAGACTAATTATGATTACCATGGATGGCCAACTCCATATAAGAACAATCCCACAGGCAAACAGCCTTTAGGCTGGCAATTAAAGGCTGCAGACACTTGTATTATCAACTGCCAAATTGTTGCACTGTTTTTCCCCCCAAAAGATTGCAGAACAAAGTGAAAACACTTGATTGACGTGCATTAAGCATCTTCCATTGGAAGGGGTAGATCAAAAGCAATTATCTGCTTGCCAATCTCAGCGGTCCTGATCGCAGTCAGATGTGTTATGGGAAATAGACAAGCTGAAGACGTGATTGCATATTTGAGTTTGTATAAACAGCAACAGGCCAGCTTTCAAAGGATCAGGCGTTACTATGGAAAAAAAGACACCCAAATTTCCCTTTTCTGGCAGATTGTGAAAATCTGATTGGAAGTTTTCCTGGATCACCCCAGGAATTAAAATTGGCCCTGCAGCTGCTCCAAGGACCAGAGGAAATATTTGCATTAAGGATGGATAAAAAGAGGAAATCCTCAACTTACAACCACAGTTGGGACCAGAATTGCTTCCATTACTAAACAAGGTGTTCAGTCAATTCTACCTGAATTTAAGACTTTTTTTGCCATGTTGTTAAGTGAATCTTTGCTGTTGTTAAGTGAACCATACGGTCATTCAGCAAATCCACTTTCTGCCATTGTGTTTGCTTGTTGGAAGCCAGCTGGGAAAGTGATCACATGACCCTATGATGCTGTGACCATTGTAGATACAGGAGTGTTGCTAACTGCCCAAATGTTGATCAGATGACCTTGGGGATGCTGAGACAGTCATAAGTGCGAGGACCAGTTGTCAGACACAATGGCACTGAAAAAAGTGACCTATGACCGTATTTCACACTTACGACCATTGCAGCATCCCCGTGGTCACATGGTCAAAATTCAGACGGCTTGGCAACTGGTTCCTATTTATGACCGTTGTCCTGGGATCACGTGATCCCCTTTGGCGACTTTCTGAGAACTAAATTCAACGGGGAAGCCAGATTCTCTTAACAACCGTGTTACTAATTTAACAACGGCAGTGACCCACTGAACAACTGTGGCAAGAACATGGGGTAAAACTCACTTAACAACTTAGCCATGGACTACCTGTAGCCACCAGTTCTGCTGGCCTGGTTCCACAATTTAGTTCTGTGCAATAATCTGCATAGAAATTGCAATAGCTATGCAATAACCTTCCAATAGTTAAGTCTCACTGAAACCAGTGGACGCCAAATCCCCATTTGGCTATTATTCCAAAGCCAGCCTTGGAATCGTTAGCAAACTCACCACCACAATGTAGCGTGGTCTGTACTGGATTGTCCCAAAAAGGCCCAGAATCACCATGATGATGTGGAGGAAATTGGCCAGAATCGGAGCCCATTGGTAGCCCAGAAAATCGAAGACTTGTCTCTCTAAAGCAACAAGCTGGAAAAGAAAGAAAGAAAAAAGAAAAAGATAATTCGCACATCCGTATATTAGGAAATCCACTTTATAATACCTTGGTAAGACCACACTTGGAATACTGCGTTCAAGTTTCAGTTGCCATGATATAAAAAAAGATGTTGAGATTCTAGAAAGAGTGCAGAGAAGAGCAACTAAGATGATTAAAGGGGTCTGCAGGATAAATTGCATGATGAACAGTTAAAGGAGATTAGGTATGTTGAGCCTAATGAAAAAAAGGATTAGGAATGACATGATACCCATCTTCCGATATTTGAGGGGTTGCCACAAGGAAGAGGTGGGGGGGGGGGTCAAGCTATTCTCCAAAGCACCTGAAGGCAGGACAAGAAGCAACAGATGGAAACTAATCAAGGAGAGAAGCAACCTAGAACTAAGGAGAAATTTCCTGACAGTGAGAACCATTAAGCAGTGGAATGGTTTTGCCTCTAGAAGTTGTGGGTGAAGTCCCTCTCCCCCCCCCCCGCCTTTCCCGGGGCCACCAAGCTACAAAGGTTGGGAACTGATACATCATAGCTGGGTGAATCTTTCATGTAATAATAATAAAGTTGGAAGGGACCTTGGAGGTCATCTAGTCCAACCCCTGCTCAGGCAGGAAACCCTATACCATTTCGGACAAATGGCTGTCCAGTCTCTTCTTAAAAACTTCCAGTGTTGGAGCATTCACCACTTCTGGAGGCAGGTTGTTCCACTGGTTAATTGTTCTAACTGTCGGGAAGTTTCTCCTTCGTTCTAGGTTGCTTCTCTCTTTGGTTATTTTCCATTCGTTGCTTCTTGTCCTGCCTTCTGGTGCTTTGGAGAATAGCTTGACTCCCTCTTCTTTGGGGCAGCCCCTGAGAGATTGGACCACTGCTATCATGTCCCCTCTCGTCCTTCTCTTCGTTAAACTAGACATATCCAATTCCAGCAGCCTTTCCTTATATGTTTTAGCCTCCAGTCCCCTGATCATCTTTGTTGCTCTTCTCTGTACTCTTTCTAGAGTCTCAACATCTTTTTTACATCGAGGTGACATGGATCCTACGATGTTGTGAACGCTACAGTAGGTCCATAAGCCAAATGAAAGTTGAGGACTGTTCAGATCTACAAAGGAGGGGGTCCTTGGGGCTGTCTGAGCTTGGTTGTTTTCTTGTAGAGATTTCATTACCCAACTAGGTAACATCATCAGTGTTAGAAGAAAGTGGGGTTTGCTTTCTGTTTAATATGCAAGTGTTGGTGGGAATGTTGATGGTTTTTTAAATTAGGTTGTTTTTACAGTAAGGGCAAACCACTTGTATGTAAACAGACTCTTTTCCAGCACTGATTATGTTACATAATCTGGTAATGAAATGTCTGCAAGAAAACAACCAAGCTCAGAGAGCACCAAGAACCCAATAGTCTTCCTCCTCTTCCTCCTCCTCCTCCTCCTCCTCCACATACCCCCCACTCCCTTCTAACACTGATGATGTTACCTAGTTGGGTAATGAAACATCTGCAAGAAAACAACCCAGCTCAGAGAGCACCCAGGACCCCACAGTCCTCCTCCTTCTCCTCCTCCTCCTCCCTCCCTCCCTCCCTCCCTCCCTCCCTCCCTCCCTCCCTCCCTCCCTCTCTTCTAGCACTGATGATGTTACCTAGTTTGGTACTTAAATGTCTGCAAGAAAACAATGAAGCTCAGAGACCCCTTCATTTCAACCCTGAGCTACAAATATTCTCCTTCAAATGCTTAAATATAGTTTTGCGTCTCTTCAAAGTTTTCTCCCAGACAGATCTCCAACCCGACAACCCATTGCTTCTTCTCTGGCCTTCATGAGAGATGGCCTCATGGTTATTTCTCTCAACTCAGAAAACGTTTAGAAAAACATTTGAAAGTGATATTCTACAGGTCCAGGGGAGCCCATTACCCCCAGCAGTCTCGATTGAAGCATCTGGGGAAGTGGAGAAAGGAAGGCTATATTTCATTTCAAAATCAATTTTCTTTGCATCATCGGTGCCAGTGGGAAGGGGTTAAAGCGTTTAATCTTCCATTAGGAAGATCAAAAGACATACGATGATGACATTTAGAAATTTTGGATTCAGACCGGGTAGCTGGAGAACACATGATTGCAATCTGTTTACTCAATCGGGCATTTAATTAGCATGGTTTGTTGCATTAACCCCAAAAGTACAGATAAAGAACCAGCATTTACATATTAGCTTAACCATCAAGCAAAGGACGGGCAAGCTAATAGATTAGCACTGCATAGGCTTGAAAGAGATAACCTTGTACTGCCAGATATTGTAAGGACGAATCCAACTTTCCTTCCTGTAAGGGTGAATCCAACTTTCCTTCTTAGAACATAGAATAATGAGGTTGGAAGGAACCTTTAGTCCAACCACCTGCTCAGGCAGACCATCCATCACTGGAGATTTTTAAGAAGAGACCAGACAGTCACTTGTCTGAAATGGTATAGGTTTCCTGCTTGAGCAGGGGGCTGGACTAGAAGACCTCCAAAGTCCCTTCCAGCTAATTCTATTCTATTCTAATTCTATTCTATTCTATTCTTATTGCATATTGCATATTGCATATTGCATTCCATTCCATTCCATTCTATTCTATTCTATTTCTTATTCCATATTCCCAGTGCTTTAAAAAAAAAAGGTGCTGGAACTCACACTTGTCATACAACTTGCCTTGCCTACCCTACAAAGTTCCATCCAAAAAAGGTGCCAGAACTCCGTTCTGGGCGTTCTATGAGAAAAAAGCATATTGCATATTGCATATTGCACATTCTATTCTATTCTATTCTATTCTATTCTATTCTATTCTATTCTATTCTATTCTATTCTATTCTATTCTATCCATATTCTATTCTATTCTGTTCTATATTTCATATTTCATACTTCATATTTCATATTCTATTCCATAGAAATGGAAGTGGCTGTCCAATTTCTTCTTGAAATCCTTCAGTGATGGAGCACCCACAATTTCTGAAGGAAAGCCTTCTACTGGTTGATTGTTCTCACCATTAGGATGTTTCTCCTTAGTTCTAGGTTGCTTCTCTCTTTGATTAACTTCCGTCCATTACATCATATTACTCTTCTTTCATTATCTATCTATCTATCTATCTTTCTATCTATCTATCTATCTATCTATCTATCTATCTATCTATCTATCTATCATCTGCCCCCCCCCTTTCTGATTCTGTCTCTGCCATCAATATATTGAACCACACTTCAATACGAAGGTTATTTACATCAATACTTTGAGATGTTTAATTCTTTGCTGCTGCTGTATAAGTACCAAATCTTGAGAAGAAGGAGAAACTTGTCTTTTTGGCATATTTTAATTGATTCCCCTCCCCCTCAGCTTTTGGGATTATTTTGTCTGAGGAATACTTGATTATTTGTTTTAGGACAAAGTATCAGAATTTTTGCAAAGCCTGGCCTGGAGAATAAATGGATGCTAAGCTGAAATTGGAGAAGATACCGCTTTTGGTGTCTGTTTGTCTTTGTGTGTGTGGTATTATTCTGCCACTAAGGATAGGCAAGGTAATGCTCCTGAGAACTAATTTCCTCCCGGGCAATTTTTTTAATTACAAAATAAATAAATAAACAAAAGCTAGTATGGTGGAAGGCAAATCGACAGCCCGTATCTTTGCATTTGTTTGCTGGAACAGTTAGGAGCTGTATGTAAAAACTTCCTTCGGTTGTTGAAAGTATCTCTTGGTAGTCCTCATTTAGTGACTGCCTCAGATAGTGACCAGTTATGACAGTGATGAAAAAGTAACTTTGTGAGCAATGCCAACATTTATGACCCTTGTAGCATCTCTCTCTCTCCCTCCTTCATGTGTTCACCATTACAGTCAGTTAGTATGTATTGTCCTGATCCTGACCATTTTTTTTTGCTTCACAGCCCCCCCCCACCGTTGCCTAAATAAGCAATCTCTTCCTTAGCTGCTTTTCAACACAGCATTTCCTCCAAAGGTGCCAAAGGAATGAGCTCAGCTCTGTGACCTTAATTAATTGATTAGAACCAGCTGCCACCCTGAAACTGACCAGACCTTAATCAGTTTCACACTGAAAGCTTTTGTTTGCCTGGGGGTTATAGTCACCAGCACCCTAGGCAAACAGCTGGTACTAATGCATTCCTTTTGATGTGTATTCCCCATTATGCACCTGCTTACTCTCTTGTAATCCCTTTCTCTCCAATGAATGCAATTACAAATACCAATTCTCTTCTTGCTAATTATCAGAGCACTGGAGTCAGCATTCTAAAAGGCAGGGGATCGGCGGGGAAGGGCTATAATATTTGCCTTTTTAATGGCTTCCTTATGAGTTGACTTCTGGAAAATTCCTGTTTGGAATTATATTCTTGTGATGCTGTAAAGCAGAACAGAATAACATAGGAGTGTCAAACTGCTGGCCAACAGGCTGGATGCATCATAGCAAAAGTGCACCCACCCCATTGCCGGCAATGACATAAAAGTCACAATACGTTGCGACACATCATGTGATGTTGCGAGTTTGACACCCTTGGAATAACAGAATAACAGAGTTGGAAGGGACCTTGGAGGTCTTCTAGTCCAACCCCCCCCCTGCACAGGTAGGAGATCCTATACCAGACATGTTCAAACACAAGGTCCAGGGGCCAGATGCGGCCTGCGAAGTGGTTTTATGTGACCCACGAAGGCATCCTGGAAACAGTGAGGGAACGGCCCCCGCTGCCTTGGCCCTGGCCCAGGCCAGCCGGGAGCCAATGTACAATTTTATGGTGGCCATCTATGCTGAAATGCATTCAGTCTTAGCTCCACAAGGCCGTCTGGAAACAGTGAGGAACCAACCCCTGCTGCGTTGGTCCTGTCCCCTGGGTGCATGCTGGGGAGGTGTCACCCTTTGTGAGGAATGAAGAAATACACCATGCCTTGGCACTTGCCCCGGTCCCACCTCCTTCTGCCAGAGACCCTCAGATCTGTCCCACTCTTGCCCAGGCCCCCACAGTCACCCTTGAC